CTCTCTCTCTCTCTCTCTCTCTCTCTCTCTCTCTCTCTCTCTCTCTCTCTCTCTCTGTCTCTCGCGAGGTGCGTCTCACTTACGACGCATTATGTGGGACTGGTAAAAGCGATAGTCCGAATAATTCTTTCGACAAGGATCCGCCGGGATCAGAGGGAGAATTTACTGCAGACGGACACACACTCGCGCCTCTTCTCTACTCGTTTTCTCTTTTATCTCGCTTTGATGTGAAGGAGGTAGAGCAGGACCAGATATAAAAGGGACAAGAAAAATGGTGTTCTCCGCCGCCGCAGGAACACCGGCCATGCCCGCCATTGTTTCAGAGCGGCGGGTCGCCTTTAAAAATGCTCGCCTTTCGCCCCCCGTGAGTGAGGCAATTCTTTACCGCGCATGTAATACGTCATAAATTCATGCTTTTCCGGGGGAAACCATCGTTCCCCGCCGTGGGCGAAATATGTTCGACGCTTTAGCACGACGCGCGTAACATCAAAACGCGTTAGCGCGCTCGTGTTTATCGCGATATATCCGCTTAAGAAGCTTCTCCATCGCAGACACGTGGGCCAAAGGCTTTTTAGGAACGCTTCGAAAGCAAAACGTTACATTCTCCCAAGACGTCAGAGTCTCTGTATCTCTCGTGCATCAGGTATCTCGTTACACAGACCAGACCTGAGCGCGCGCGACTAACTTTGCGAATTTTCCGCGAAGATGTTGCATGCAATCGATCATGTACGATTATCCCACTTGACGTAATCTTTGCGCGCGGCAGCTTTATTATGACAAATGGCAACCCGTCAGGGCGAATGCAGTAAATAGCCATCATCGAAGATAACCCGGTGAACACTCTCCTCGCAGCGTGATCGATATATTTCTCCGATAGAGAGTCTCGCTCGACTGGCGTTAACGGAGCGCATTAGAATGTATCAGTTATCGAGGAAAGTTCCGGGCAACGCAAATTTCCGCGGTCACGAATAGTTGGCCGCAGAAGCAAGAACGCGTGTACGAAAATTTAATATTACGCCCACTCCCATCCCTCTTCCGAAAACTATGGCCGCGGAATTAGCCCGGCGCGAGCAGACGTGGATATATTTCGAGCGTTCGATCCGCGTGTTTCAACTTTCATAACGCTGCGGCGCTTCCGATGCGACATAAAAATTGATAAAGGAAAAAAGGAGGAAAAAAACGGATGTTTTCCTTGTCTCTGAAAATAACATCATAATAAATACACAAGACACTCTTATTGGAGTTGCTCTCAGGGGCTTCCTTTTAATCGGAAATAATCGTAAACAGTCGCGGATCGTGTCTTGATCTTGCGTTGCATCTTGAAGAAATTCATCAATCTTCAACCGGCACCGCGCTCAAACGGACGTATTTACCGTTAACGATTTTTTCCCGCTACCTTCGCCCAACTCGAGTACGCCGATGGTAATGCTGACGCGCCTTAAGCGACGATTTTACTTCCCATTACAAATCGTTTTCCGATTCCATTAAGAGCCAGCGTTCTCCTTTGCAGTTCCTGAATACGTTGACACGTAATCTGTATTTCAGCGTCAAGCTCAATGAAAGCATCGTTTGCCGCCTCTCTCTTTCTCTCTCCCTCTCCCTCGCTCTCTTCCACTTTGCAGAGAGAACCACAACCTGGACAACGACTACATTTACTGAAATTCAACAACGATTTTTCCAACCCGAGCTCTGTTAGAACCGACAGGCGGACGAGGACTTCAAAAAGTCGATCGCGCCGTCGCAGATCCGGCGTTCTCAAGGGTGGTTCTAGATCGATCGACAATGAGTCTTGGAAAGTCGCGATTTTCTGTTTCTGCCTGATTTACTTGAGGTCGCATCAAATTCTCCTCTGTAATTTCACTAAAAGAACAAAAGGAGAGAGTCCTCCTCGGCGATTCACGATTCTCTCAAGGATCGGGCAGTACGCATGTTAGCTTGGTCGCAGGGCCGTTCGAGGAATCGCGCCGGTGATTCGGGAGGTAATTTGTAGCCCATAAAAGTATCGTTCGTTTCGAGTAACCGTCACCGGCGTGAAGGGGATGAGGGAGCCTTGAAAGCGCGCGAACGTCGCCAAATCGAAGAGCAAATCGCGCGGTTACTCTCGCTCTCGGGGATGATCGGATTTGCGTGCATTTGGACAGCAAATTTGCGAGACGCGCGGCGGTAACCCGCTCCATAAATTGTGAGTTCTGATTGGGATTTACGAGTGGAGAGCGAGCACGCGCGCACATTGCGGCTCTCTTTAAAACGAGAACTGCGGAGCGCACCACGAGTCCTCCAATCGAAATTTATGGCCGCGTATCTCGCGAAAGAAAACAGGAAAAACGGAGGGGATGGCAAGCGGGAGAGCCAGCGGCGAATCTCGCTGGCAGAAGGGAATTCCTTGCCAGCAACCTGCACGTTTCGCGACAATGCGAATGTTTCGTTTCTTAATTCTCTTCGCGCCAACGCTTCATAATTTATATGTGGAAGATCGTTCGTATCAAGTTTTCTTCTTACAAGTGTTTTAGTGCAGATGAATTCAATTGCTGAGCGTCCGATATTGAGCGTCATGATCGAGATTGACAAGCTATCAGGGAAGCCTCCGGTTTTTGGGAATTAAGTTTCGCAAACAGATATAACGACATCTTATCTAATATTTAATTTCGAGTACACTTCGTTCTAACGGAGTTGCAGTGAATATTCATTCTTGTGCAAGTTGATTATTCGCAAGTTGTGGCGATTGTGTGGGCCTTTATTCGTGCCGAGATGGGACGGAACGGAAACGAGTGGCTGTTTTGTGTATTTCCAGCGCGCGAAGGGTTCGTAATGAAGAGGCGCAAATTGCATAATACAGGAGAGACGTACGGGAGATTAATACGCGACGAGTTTCGGGGAACGATGTTTCCGACTTAATACGGTCGGTACTTTATGCCTCGAATTTTATCCCGGGTTCTATCCTGACGTCGGATGGGGTCACGTACTCCGATAACACGAATCCAGATTTGCTATACATGTGCTCGAGGATCTGACTCCTGCCAATTCCCGTGAGAGAGTGCAAGTCGCTGACAAAAATGTTGTGCGGTGGGAAAAGCGGAAAAATTTATGGATATAACATGAGCGTAGCGAGTATCGATTATTTGATAAACCAAACCGTCGCAAATACGACGTTTGACGTTATTGCATTATGACTATGTGTGTGTATGTGTGACATAACAGATAGATTGTTCGCTATTTTTTTGTGAATCTCAGAACGTATTGTCTTACCTAATGAGAGAATTTGCTTTCCAATGTATAGTCGACTACAAATCGGTCTTATCGATAAAGTTGCAACGCTTCAAGTTGCCAGAATTGAAAGTCACTGCTGTCGCATGTATGCGCAATAATCGATTACGACAGGAGCCGAAGTGACAGTATAGAGTGTGACATTTATGAAATTTGAAAGAAAGAATTTATTTTCAATGAAGAGAACATTACTTTTAGAGGTGATTTTTATATATTTATAACTGATTGCTGTGTGATCGTACACGTCAGCAGTAGCTTTCAATTCTGAAACTTGAAGCGTCACAGCTTTATTCGACAAAAAATATGCAATCGACTATATGTAGATTGTACATAATATATAATATGCAGAGAGAAACATGAGTCTATATATGCGGATAAAATTTGTAATAAAAAATGGCAATTATTATATAGTAATGTAGAGACGATGATTCATATTCTTTTATTTCATTTTCGTTGATGCGAATGTAAACAAACCGATCGTCTTTAGATCATCGAATGTAGCCTTATCGTTGAACGCGCCTGGAATATTAGAATCGAGATAACTCGCCAACTGACGAGCTATTAGGATGCCTATCTGCAGGCGTATAGCGATTGGATAACCTGAAGAATACTCGAAGTAACTTATGTGATTCTATACACAATCTCAAGACTTGCTATTCCACGTTATGAACGGTATTCGGGTATTTTCATATCGCTCTAATGTATCTTGATAATAATAATACTTGATTTGACTCTTACTTCACGTCACGTCGTGGAGATCAGCTGATAACTTTGATCTATAACGCTAAAGCCTAACAAACACAGTAGAAAATCAACAAACCAAGAGAGAGATAGAGAGAGAGGGGAGAGGAACAGTTCGCGTTAATTGAAAATAAACAATCAGCAGCGAGTTTAATACTGTTCAGAATTACTACTTTTAGTTGTAATAAGATACTTGCATTTCAACAAGGGTCGTAGAGGAAAATTAAGCCCTGTTTAAATATTGCGACGTACTTTCTTATACGAAAATTATGACTCAATGATAAATATTCTCCCTTTCCTTTTTTTTTTTTAACAAAAAGTGCATGAATAGTATTTTCGCAGTGAAAACGTATTTTTCGGGAGAAATTTATTTGAGTTTGATTGTAATTAAATTAAATTTTCGTTCAACCGTAATATTTAAAAAAATGTATAATATTCGAATTTTTCATTTTTCGGCTGCATACGTAAACGTTCAACATAAATATTCGTGTGTTTATTAACGAGACAGCAAGGTGAAATTAACACAAATTT